CACATTAGAACTGTTGGTGGTGGTAGGTGCCATCAAGTCGGTTCCAACCCATAGTAACTTTATGCGCAAGAGAACAAAACACCACCTGGACCTGAATCATTCTCATAATTGTTACTATGCCTGAGCCCATTGTTGAAGGCACTGTGTCAATCCATCTTGTTGAGAGCCTTCCTCTTTGTGGATGTCCCTCCATTTTACCAAGCGTGATGTCTTTCTCCAGAGACTGATCTCTCATGACATGTCCCAAATATGCAAGACAAGTCTTGCCATCCCTGCCTCTAAATAACCAAAAAGAACTAGTCGATATTCCACATTAGATTGTGGTAGCAATTTATAATTTTTCTTGATGTGACTGAACTATGGGATGATATGCTATATGTATTAACTCCCAATTAAAATAAATTATTTTTTTAAAGATTTCCATAACAAAAGAAACAGACTTTGATGATTATAAGGGAGAGTCAGAGAAAGTAGAGAATAGTACCAGGCTAGAGCATAGACATGTATTAATTTGGGTGAAGGGGAAGATAATATTCTAAAAGAAGAAGATGCCAGAGGGTGTGTGCAGACAGGAGTGGAGGAGGGGTGGGGGAGTGTCATGGCAAACTACTATTTGGGAGGACTGATGAGCTGTTTATATTATTTAATGCAAAAAGAATTACCTGATAATTCACCATAAAGATTTTTTTAAAAAAAAATAAAAGCTTCATGTGGCCATGTAAAAAGAAAAGAATAGTCAACTATGAGGGGGTACCCTCCCAAAAAAATCAGGGAAAAAGTTCCACTGGGTGGAGCTTTCATAGTAGGTATTTTTCCCACTAGGGAAGCAACAAGCAACTCTCTGAGATAGTACACCCAGTGGCATCACCTGGGAAGGTTCTCTCTGGCCACAGTGAATTTTTGCATTAAAGCAATTTCACTCAGACCTCATTTTTTGTGATGGCCGATTTAAGAGAACAGCATGCAGCTGTGAAATTTTGTTTCCTGATCAAGAAAAACGTCACAGAAACTGTTGTGATGTTGAACATAGCTTATATGGACAGCACTATGGGGAAAACTCAAGTGTACGACTGGTTTTCTCATTTCAAAAAATGGTGAAATGTTGATTGACGACAGACCTCATTCTGGACATTTGTCCACTTCCTGAATGGATGAAAATGTCAACTTGTAGTGCATTTGGAGTTTGTTCTGCCAGGTCAGACATTAATCAAACATTCTATTTAGTGGTTCTGAAAAGAAAGCGTAACAGTGTGCTACAAAAAAGGCATGATTTGTGGCAGATGGAGGACTGGTTTTGCCACCACAACAATGCACTTGCTCAAGCAGCCATCTAAGTGCACCAGTTTGGGGCAAAAAATATTAAAGCATAGCTGTCTTGCCCCATGCACATTACTCACCTGACCTCCCACCATGTAACTTCATTTTGCTTCTGTAAATGACATGAAAGGACAGTGATTTGAAAACATAGAAGAGGTGAAGAAAAAAAAAGAGGAAGGTGCTGTCCCCCATGCAAACAGATGAATTTGAAAAGTGTTTCCAAGAATTGAATTGCAGATTTGACAAATGTATTAAGTGTAATGGAGAGTACTTTGAAGGTGATATGGTTGTGTTGTAAAAAAAAATTTAAATACATAGCTTTGAAAAAATATTTTTAGTTTTTTGGGGGTACCCCTCTTATATAAGATCAAAAGGCCAACATTTTCCAAGGACTAAGGTCAGAGGGTTAGGAGAGAATGAAAAATAGAAACATGAACTGGAGGGAAGAAGTGGCATAAATGATGGCACATTGAGAGTTTCAATGGATGAATTGAACCAGAATATATATGAATTGGTGAATATGATCTGTTTGGTAAACCTTCATTTAATTCACAATGAAAAGCTTGTTTTTTTTTAATCAGTTTCTCAATGCGTATCTCACATAACTTAATTAAACATATTAATTTTACCAAAGTTTTCTAAGTATCAAGAACTACCTCTCTGTGGTGGATTCTTATACGATCCTCCTTTGTTTTCTTTTTCATGGCAAGTACCCTAGTCAAGCTTATGGTTTCCAGTTGCAGACACTCCCTCCCTCTATTCCATGCCACACTCTACTGCCAGGTGAAGCTAGTTAAAGCTTGGCTTTTCTCATGTCACTGCCCTGCTAAGAACTTTGTAGTGGGTGATATTTTTAACCTTTACCTGCAATTTCAAGCTCTAGTAAATCCCAGTTCTAATCTACTTTGACAAGCTCACATTTTCCAAAACATTAATCCTGCAACTCCTTTGATCGAGCCTGTTCTTGCTACCCAAACACAATTTTCTTCCACATCCTGTCCAGGTACATTTACCTCCATCTTACCATGATAAACCCAGAACATAATTTTCATAAAGGAAGGGACCATGTACTGTTGACTATTACATCATTAGAACCTAGAACCTACCAAGGCCTGGCAGTTAGTAGGTGTTCAGTAATATTTTTTGAGTAAATAAATAAATTAGATCATTGTCCCTGACTGAAAATCTTTCTTTCTCAAAATCCTACTGGCTCCTATTTGCTAGAGTACTTTTTAAAAACAGCCTCAAAATTCTTGGACGTTCCTCCTATTGAGTGTTGGTAACGATTTCCCTTCCCCTTGAATAAGGGCCCCATGTCCACTTGACCAATCAAATACAGTAGAAATGATACCGTGATGGTTTTTTAAAAGTATTTCCAGCTAAAAATCAGGAGCTCTGATGGTACAATGGCTAAGCACTTGACTGCTAACTCAAAGGTTGATGGTTTAAATCTACCAAACAACTCCAAAGGACAAAGACCTAGATATCTACTCTCATAAAGATTCTAACTAAGAAAACCCTATAGAGAAGTTATACCCTGTTACAGTGAGTCACAACGAGTTCAAATCAACTTGACGACACTCAACAACAATCACTGCCTAATTCTTTCATTTTCTACCCCGAGGATACAACTATTTTGCCCTGTCCCTTGAATGTGGGCTGGGCTTACTGTCTTGCTTCGGTGAATAGGAGGAATGACAGGGCACAAGTCTGGAGAGTAAGTACCAGCAAGGCTCTGTTGCTTGATAAAGACACATCTGCCTGGAAAAGAGACAAAACGCTAACTCAGAAGCAAGATTGTGTCCAATCTTCCTTTTATTTCCTTAGAAACTGAGGCCATAATTCCAAGGAAATGGTATGTGCAGCTGTTAATAGCCAGGTCCCATGTTCACATTTCAACGTTCTGTTGGTTGTAAGTAATAGACACAATTGCACCAGGACCAAATTACTCCTTAGCAGCCAACATTACTTGTTTAATGAGCTGAATAACAGAAGCTGCCAATTATTGCATTTCTTCTTAAAATGTCTTTGAACTCCCATACATAAAATTATTTTACCCCTTTGTTAAATTTTTATGATTCTTCTGAAGTTGATAAGCTGTGGGTTCACTCAACCTGCAAAACCCAAGAGAATACTTTATGACCTTCATTACATCCCAAATTCACTGTCATCGAGTCAATTCTGACTCATAGACACCCTATAGGACAGGGCAGAAATTCCCTGTGGATTTCCAAGACCGTAACTCTTTACTGGAGTAGAAAGCTTCATCTTTCTCCCACAGAGCACCAGCTGGTGGTTTTGAACTGCTGATCTTGCACTTAACAGCGCAACACATCATCACACACAGCTAAGCCACTTCATTACATAACTGGGCTAAAAGTCCTGTGATGGCCTGGCCTAAGGTCCCCCACTTAGCTATTGAATAAACATAACCAATGACACATCCTAAATCAGCAATATCCCCACCTGTTCACTGGGATCCCAGTACTTTCCCCACTTCCTTAATACGGCTAGTGTGAAAAATAAAATAAAATAAATGCAGAGAAATATTTAAAAGCACTATTCAAGTGAAAAGTTAAAATATTATTTTTAGAAGCTCTTTTTTTAACATCCTAATTAATAGAAAAATATGTCCCTTCATAACTTCCAGTTTAAAGAGGGAATATGACCTTGTGGGAATTCTCTAGCTTCTATGCTATATTGCTAAATTGAGCATGTTGACTTGTCTCATAGTATCATAATAAATGACAATATCTAATAATCCTCACTGAGCATCTATATATACATAATGCCTTTTAAATATGTGCTAGAATTGTATAGCACATAAAGTAAATCTAGTCTCTAAACTCTTAAAGAGAAATGGAAATCCAAAATACAGAACCTAAGAGCATTCTTTTATATTGTGAATATATGTGTATATTTATGAATCTTACAGATCCTTTTGTAAGAAAATAATGTTACCCATCTTTTCCATGTATATACAGTGAAATTCCACAGTAAAGTTTTTTAAATGTTTGAATACGACATAAGTTAGTGGTTGAGATAGTTTATTATGCCAGCCTGGCTGATAAACTCAGGTGGGATTGACTGAGGGGCAGAGAGATGGATGGCTTGGTGAGCCTTGCCTTTCTTGTCTCTCGCTCTGTGATCATCGGACCAGTGTGCGGCTTCCTTGCTTGTTCTGTGCCTCAATTTAAAGGCTACACTGCCTGTGGGACGCCTAGCCTGTGGACTGTGTTGCTGTAAGTTGAGGTCCCTTTAAGACTTCTCTGGAGCTGGGGACTGGCCGTTGGTGACCTGCCTTGTGATTGGCTGCTGTGCTGACACAGCCTAGCTCTCTCTACAAATAGAGGAAGATCTGGCATCAGACAGAGACTTGAAGGACTGCTAATCTCTCAACTTTATCTCACGGACATGAGTTGCACTAAGCCATTTGTAGTGCTTTCTAATTAACTGTTTATTTCTTGTATTGTATATTTATCTGTATATGATTTAACAGTTCATTTCTCATTATATATCTAATTATCTTTATAAATAAATATATTATCAGGAATTTGGTTTTATCTCTCTAGAGAACCCTGTCTAACACAGTGGTAGAATGTTCATTAAGGACAAAATACCATTAGAATAGAGGCTCATTACTTTAGTCCAACTATTTTAGTGTTTTCTCTGTTCCTAGTTACCTGATATGGCAAGCATTTTGGCTTCAAGCAAGGCTGGTAGTTGGACTTCGATATCGCTAACTTTCTTCCTCAGAGTCCTAATGAGTCTGTCACTCATACACATCTAGAGGGAGAGAAATAACCATGAATTATCATGTGTTCAGGAAAAATCAAAAGGCAACAAAGATCAAAGATTCTGAAACTATAATTAAATAAGAAGAGTGGCGATTTATAAATAAATAAGAAGGATAGAAATTGATAAGTAAGAGGGGTTTTGTTTTATATGCAATAATTTGAAATTTTGAAAAGGTAGTAAAAAAGAATGAAGAAAGGAAAAGAATAACCATTTATGATCAATAGGAAATAATTTACCCCTGGACAAAATTTTAAAGAGTTAGGAAGAAGGGGAAACTGGAAGGGAGAAAGTGGAATAATTGATGGTACACTGAGAGGATTACAATAAATGAGCTGAGACAAAATATGTAGGAATTGTTGAATGCAAAACTGATGATCTGCTCTGTACAATTTCACCCAATTTGCAATAAAATGTTTTTAATTAATTAATTTCTCAGACTATTTACTCAGTATGTTGTTTGAATAAATATACTGATAGGATACAACCCTGATGAACAACTTTCCCTGATTTAAAATCATGCAGCATTCCCTTAAAAAGAGACAGAGCCCTGGTGACATAGTGGGCTCGGAGTTGAATGACTGACCACAAGGTCAGCAATTTGAAATCACCAGGGGCACCTCTAAAGAAAGATGAGACTTCCCACTCCCATAAAGAGTCACAGTCTCAGAACCCCACAGGGGGCCATTCCACCCTCTCCTATGAGGTTGCTATGAATCAGAATCAACTCAGTGGCAGTGTGTGTGTGCACGGATGTGGTGTGTGTGTGTGCATATGCGTGTATGTGTGTGTGTGCATTCTCTTGTTCTGTTTGAAGCACTGCCTATGCAATTGATCTGTGCAATTTCTGCAGGAGCAGAATTCTGTGCTTTCTGCTCTGGAATTCCCATTCTTTGCAATATTATCTATATATCTTGTTATGATCCACACAGTCAACAATTTAAAAAAAACTGGAAAACATCTTTCAGGTATTCTCTGCTTTCAGACAAGAGCTATCTGATTTCAGCAGTGACATTCCTGAATCCAGCTTAAATTCCTGGCAGCCCTCTGTGGATATGCTGCTACAAATATTTGAAAATTATCTTCAGCAAAATTTTGCATGCAGAAGATATTAAAAAGACTGTTTGATAATTTAGCCTTGTATTAGGTCAACTTTCTTTGGAATAAGCACAAATATTAATCTCTCACAGAGTAGTTCCAGTGCCAAATCAGCTTGTTTAAAATTTCATCCTGTATTTTGCCAATTCTTGGAGCCTTTAGCAAACCTTTGACTACAAGGTGGTATTGACATTTGGGGCAACACCTCTAATCCTATCATAGCTCTGCTGTAATGTGAGGGAAGCTTCCTTGGGGCTGACCTATACGTTTAACATTAAATAAGGAAAAATTAAAGAGAAGTGAATAGAGATCAGAAGGACCTACTACCACCAAGAAAGAAGAGCCAGGAGTACACTGTGACCTTGGACCTGGACCCTGAGATATTGCTGGACCCAGAGGAAGATTGATGCCAAGAAGTGTGAATATCTTCACGGAATGCTGGGTCTATAGATAACAAAAGAAGTCAAGAAGCTTTCCCCTAGGCTTACAACGAAAGAAAGCCTTACCCTGGATATAGACTCCTAGCCTCCTAATAGTGAGAAAACAAATTTCAGTTTGTTAAACTCATTCACTTGTGATATTTCTGTTATAGCAGTACTAGATAGCTAAGACAGTAACTTATCTTGGTCCCCATGATTAGCACAAGTAAGTAATAATTCGTGTGCAATCCTATGCCTAAAAAAAGCTTATTGTAGATGCAATAATTCAGAGTAAATGACCCTCCTTCACAGCTGCCACTAATTCAGCATAAGGCAACTACCTTTAGAGCAGCAGTTCTCAACCTGGGGTCGCAACCCTTTTGGGGGCCGAATGACTCTTTCACAGGGGTCGCCCAACTCATAACAGTAGCAAAATTACAGTTATGAAGTATCAATGAAAATAATGTTTATGGTTTTGGGGTCACCACCACATGAGGAACTGTATTAAAGGGTCACGGCATTAGGAAGGATGAGAACCACTGCTCTAGAGAGAAGGAATCGTGTCTCATTAACTGAGATTATTCTAACTAACCAACACATTGACTATGTGCTGTCAGAGAGTAATGAAGATGTGCCTTATCTCTACACAAAATATTGTCCTATGTGGAAATAAGAGTGACAGATAAAATAAGGAAGACATTTCTCAACTAAAATAAAAATTAAAAAAACATTTTAAAACAGGGGCAATCACATTTTACCCCACTTATTTAATTGTGAGGAACTTGAACCCTGCTCTCCTGGGAGGAAAATGAATTAATTTCTTATAATTACATCATCCTGAAAATAATTTTTTTAACAAATGTATTCATGTAGCAGTATTTCCTTCCCAATTCCTAAAATTGGCAGCTCTTTCTGAAGCAAAGGCTAAATAAATGAATCTATTTCTGGGGTCATCACAAGGGACAAGCACAGGACTGGGTGCAAGCCTTGCACCTGGCTTTACAAAATTGATGTTTCATCCAGGGGCTGGGCCTTCTGTGATAGAGGCAGGAAATTTCAAAACAAAAATGTTCAAGACATATTTTTTAGATCGGAGTATAAAGGTACTTACCTTAGCAATGATTTCTTTGAGGGACAGGCTGAGGGATTTTATTCTTTCCTGGAGGCTAAAAGAATTAAAAAGAAAACATTGGCAACCATAGTTAGATACCATCACAAATAGGAATAGTCACTGTGAACAGGGAGCTCTCCATTTACCAATGGCTGAGGAAAGAAAGTGCCAAGGTGATCCTCTTTGATGTGAAATTAATGTGGTACTGGGAAATAGACTTACTTCCATCATAATGCCTACTAAAGTCAATACTAACATTTATTATCATTCCCAGAGTGAACACTTATTGATATGAGGAAGAAACAACCCAGATAGGTTACTGGCAATAAAAGATTTAAATTAGTGTTCCTGTAACCACCTTCCTAAAAGGATGGTCTACCCAGGGTACTGTTTTCCAGACAGCTAATCAAATATGTTGTGTTTGAGTACATTGCACAATTG